AGTGACAGCGACGTGGAAACGGAATTACGGGATCGGCGCGGTGGAAGGTGGTAGGAGAACGTTTCAATTAGTAATTAAAACGTGCCGTGCAGTAACCCTCGCCCCAACCCCTAGTCGCCACTCTTCCGCCCCGTCGCGGTACAACGAGGCTCTTGCTCTCTTATACCGTCGTCGTCGCCACCGCCGCCATCTTGTAAATTAATTAATGCGTTCCTAACGAGATCAGAGGCGTCGGTAAAGCAGGAGGGTTGGCTGGTTCTCTACTTTGCCCGCCAAGGAAAGGGGGTGAGAAACTCAAGAGCGTAACTCGCGCCTCGCGCACCCCATGCGTTGGATAATGCTCCAACGATCTCGAAGTAGTATCCCCGTTCGAATTCCGTTTAACAATAAGAACTAGACGGCTCGATAATTCAATTTCGGATCACGTGCATAGTAGTAGAAAAGCTTCGAATAAAATTTTAAATAAATATTATATATTATGGATAATTGACACAAGCTTCTGATTTTTCATAATTCTCTATATAAATATACTTGAAGATTTTGTTTCAAGCTTCCTGACTAGTTATGTACGTAAAATATATCGTTCCAAGTGCATTCCTAGCGCAAGCATTCGAGACGCGAAATTTCTTTCGGGCGCGAATCTCGATGCCAACTTTTCGAAACGCTCTCCCACGATCCTCACAGCCCTGTATGAGAGCGAATTAGTCTGTTCCCGGGGTAGACAGCAGAGACAGGGTGTTAGTGGAAGGGGATGTTGGTCGGGGGGTCGGTGTCAGGATCTCTCGACCCTTTCAAACCCTTTCATCGGCGCTTCACCCGCTTACATAATGCAGCCACTCTAATTAAAATAAATTACACTCTCGCGCGTCAGTTCGCTCTTTTATCTCTCTCTTTCTCTCTCCCTTCTCTCTTGGTCTCGCACCCGTACCGGTCCTTTCTCTGTGTTCTTCCCCCTCTCATGCTTCCCTTCCTCTTTCCTCTCGGCTAGCTTTTTTTCGCTCTCACCCTGTCGCTTTTTTGTACCGCACTTTCGACCACCACCCGGGTAACGCCCCTCTCTCCCGTCTCCTCTCTCTCTTTCTCTCTCTCTCTCCCCCTTGCTCGTTTATTTGCACTTTATTCGAGATTTAATTTACCGACCTCCGGCGACAGCCTCGTTGGTGCGCGCTCGACTCTGTGATGGGATTAAAAAGGCGGGTAGGGGATGATAGGATGGAAGAGGCCGAGCGGTGAGAGGGAGGCGAGAGGATGGCGTAAAAGTTGGAAAAAGAGTAACGCGACCGCGAGCTCCGCGACCAATGGAGAACGAACTGCCGGAAAATGGCTGAACCAAGGAAAAAGCGAGGAGGCGTAGGGAGGGACGAACAATCGATATCGCGGCGTCTCGATTCGGAGCCGATTTTCAACTCTCGGAACAGCCGAACGTGTACCTGCCACCGCAACATCGCGATGGCGCGAGGGCTTATACACACAGTAAATAACGGAATCGATTTCGATTAAACGTTTAAAATCGTTCCTGTTTTCGTGATATCGGGATCGCTGATGCAGTTGCGATGCCAGCCTCCGGGCTACGAGATATACGGGGTAATTTTTTTCCCCTCGTATGATATTTGATTGCAATTAACATTCGACAAATCGTATTCGCGGCGTCATCGTTTTGAAATAAGTGACGAATAATGTGTCATATATATTGCACATCCGCGCCAATGTTTAACTCTATGAAGAGACCACTGTACAAGATCAATATTGAGCTGCAGAATGATGACAACATCCAACGAAAAAAGCATATCACCCTTAATTGACAAACATGAAAAGAAGAGCCGGGGAATTGGTCGCGAACGATGTCGTCGAATTATCGTGAAATATTCTCGTTATTACGATTGCGTTTTTGCGATCGTGTGTTTGTTAAATATTTCGTGTTGAAAATAGAGATATCCATTTATCTGCGAGCGAAAGCGGCGAGGGAGCGCGCACGAGAAAGAACCGCGGGCATAACAATATATATCTGGCTTTACAGTCGCAGGCAATTTTCGCGAAAATGCGTTCACATTACAGCGGGGTGAATCAACATTAACGGCCTCCACACGAGTATCCTCCTCGTCACCATCGAGACCACCAGTTTCCGCGACAATTTACCGCGAGCTATCCGAAACGAGGCGTAAGCATCGCGCAATTCAATTAAGCTCGCGCTTGCCTGGCCGAGAGGGGAGACCAGGGTAATAGCTGGAAAAGCCTTTTTTCCGTCTGTGCGCGAAGCAATAGCAATAAATAAATATTCCGCTGTCGTTCGTTATCCCCCCTCATCCCTACGCTTCTCCCGCCTTTTTACGCCACAGGGGGCAACCGCTTCACGGTGTTTTATGAATTCGTTATGAGTCGACGCCTCGGCTGAGAGAGACGGCGAGAGGAGATTGTCGAGTAGCTCGCACGGAGTAGCTCGGTCTTTCATCGTCTTTTCCTCCTTTTTCGAGCTCGAGCGACGTCAACGTCGGGCTATAGGCACCGTTGGCTTCTTTCCCGCATCCTCGAAAAGCTCCGAGGTGTTCCGCAACGCATAGAGGAAATATTTCCCGGGTCGTGAAAAATCCTGAAAACGGAGAGACGCGCGCGCGCACCGCGCGCACGAGATATATACGTATATATATATGTATATATATATACGTACACAGATATATATATACATATGAGGTAGGATGCGAAAGGTAAAGCTCCCAGGAATGAAAGGAAAGGACTTTACTGGCGCGCGAATAATAACGACCTGCATTCTCTCCGGCTGTCGTCGGTTTTCGGTTCGAGACGCCAAACCTTCTTTCCACCCCTTTTCATCTCTCGTCTGTCCCTCTGTACGTATACATTTCCCTCTCTTTCTCGGGTTTTTTTCCTCCTTTCCATCTAGCCTTTCACGATGGTTTGCCCCTTTTCCGCGAGCACCGTTCTTCCTCGTCGATCCAATCACGAAGATCGGATTGCACGGAGGAAGAGTGGTGGGTGGAGGTGCAAGAAGGAACATGAAAATGTAGTTGGGTAACGACCCGCCGAGCGGAATAGAAGTTTTATCGTGCAGCCTGCCCCACGCTGGGCTGCGGCGGAGAGGACGTATAAATTCAAAGTGACGCGAGAAAACGGATCGATGGGAACGTAATTCTTCGCTTCTCGGAACTCGGTAAGTACGGCGTCAATTTGTTCGATGGCTCGGAACTTCCTTCCGTTAAAAAGAAGACGATAGACGTCTTCACGCCGAGATCGGACCTCTCGATCAATACGGTATACATGCAGTGAAACATCTTGACAGAATAAGGGAGGTAGCGAATCTCGAAACTCGAAATGGCAATACGCGTAATTGCTTTTCAAAATTCAATGCCGTTATTAATTATCAACTAATGCGTTAAGTAAAGAGAAGAAAAGTAATAAAAAGCGTGGCGTAGAAAGGCTCGATTGGTTAAGGGTGTTCTTGGAACGAACGAAGACACAGAAGGTGAAGAAAAAATATGTACGAAGGAAAATAAAAGGACTCACCTCTCCAGCAATCAGTGATATTATATGACGCCGAAGTGAGTAACCCTATTAGCATTCATATTTCAATATCACAGGCCTCAGGGTCGCAGTTTGAAACTGTGGAAGGTACTTGGTTGAAGCGAAACGGGGGAGATAAACGGAAGAGAATTCACAGGCAAGAGCCAGAGGGGAGGAAGCGATGCAGATGAGAGAGAGAGAGAGAGAGAGAGAGAGAGAGAGAGAGAGGGAGTACGTAGAGGGCGAAAGAGGAGAGCTAATATCGATAGCAACCTATTACCATCTATCTCCATACCGATGTAATGGACGCGCAGCCCGATTATCAATCCGTAATAATTGTGCATATTAAACGGGCACTAATTATCGGGCTGGCAGCGTGCCGCGGGCGCCATCGCCATCGAATCGAACGAATTACAACTCAGCGGTCCGCTTCGCTCTTTCCATCTCCCTCCCTCCCCCCTCTCTCTCTCTCTCTCTCTCTCTCTCTCGCAGTAAAATTCACCACGACCGAAAGAGGATTAATAACCAAAAAATCATCGCTCGCTCGGGCGCGAAAATATTCGCAAAATCAAATATCAAACTGTGTTTTTCTCGATTCGCCAAGTGATTCGCGAATTTTTCAACGAGTGTGAAACCTTAATCGCCCATTCGTTTCGCCGCATCGCATCGGTTAATGCGGGAACGCTGTTACGACGCGCGGGACCGTTTAATCGACGCCCGAGCTAACTGCGCACATCGATATTCATCCTGGAACGAAAAAAAAAAGAAAAAAAGGGAAGGGGCGGATGGGAGTTCCGACCGCGGCTGATCGATTCTCCTTTCTCGCGCGAGCCTTTTGCCCGTGCGATCGATCGATCGGCAGGACCGATCTCGCAGGACACTCGAGAGACCTGAGAGGCAGAGAGCGCGAACGGCGGTGCCCTCGAGCGCTCTCGAGGCTTTTTTCCTCTCCGGAGCGCTTTTAATAAACGCGCGCGCCGCAACCAGCGGACGCTTTATGTTATCGAAGAAGAAGAGAAACGCGGAGGAATAGAGAGGTCGAGAGGCGAGAGCGAGCGAGGGAGATGGAGAGACAAAAAGAGAGTGAAAGAGAGCGAGTACCCGAGTGGTCGATGAAAGCGGAAGGGAGTGCTTTTGACGACGAGCTTTTTACGGCCCTGTGTTCCGGTGTTCAGGCTTTTACGTCCATTCCGCGCTTCCTCCTTCGTCACCATCTCCACCTCCCATCCGACCGCTTCTGTCTCTCTCTTTCTATCCCGCTTTTTCTTTTTCTCCACGCTATCGCGCGCGTATCGCGCTAATTCCCTCTTTCACTCTCGTATTCCTCTACCTCCGCTATCATCCAATAATACATCGCGCGTAAGCGGCGATCTAATCCCCTTTATGAGGTGAAATTTTACGCGCCCGGCGATATCAGCGATATGCCAGTCTCCCTCATTCGAGATGAATAATGAGAAATTACTATGGTATTCGAATGTGATACTCACATGCCTCTCCTCGGCTGGATTGAGTCCTGTAACAAAGAATAAAAATTTCGTGTGAATTACGCGTGAATATCACGATATTATTAAGATGCAACAATGACAATTTCGCCGAGATAATAATCTATGTTTCAAAAAGTCACTGTTGACAGATCTATCCCCCGACAGAACGAACGCCATGAATGTTTTTCATTATTATTACAGCGTCGAAGGGAATAGAGTCGGTGGTATGTCGACGGAATCTTTTCCGCGGGAAGAAGCAGATAAAAGGGAAAGAAGGAGGTGTGCGCGAGAGACTAGCTCAACTTCTCAAGGATTTCCGAGAGACGGCGGGAGGAGACGGGGAAATCGGGAAAAAAGAAAAGCCGGCTGGAACAGGGAGCGGAGAAAATCCAGACGGAAAAGCTTTGTCCTCGAGAAGCCGAGTTCATAGTTTGCCCTCGCTCGATTTCCCCAGCCTCCCCCCCCCCCCCCCTTCCTCCTCCTCGTACCCACGCCGGTTGGTACACTTTGGTCTCGTAGGAAATATCTTAACGATATCTTTTTCCTACCGTTACCCGTCCTGCTACGAAGTAAGAATTACACGAGCCGTTTATGTTCCTGGTGCACCGGGACCATCATAAATTGCCTCTCTTTTCTCTCTCGCGACATTAACCACCGCGGAAATAAAATATTTTTATTGACGCGATGCCGCGGGAGACAGGACTTCGATACAGGCATACAGGGCGGTATTGAGACGACGGTTTTCCCCAATAATAAGTTGCAACGATAAAACGGGTATTTTCGTCGTTGAATGAAACCTTAATTCCCTCCCATTTAGAGCTTCCGTTCGAATGTTCTCTCGAGTATCATTCGGCTATCTACATCGCGGTGAACGGGTGATTTTATTATTATAGTCTCCGTAGTCCGTTAAAATAACGGGAATGATAGTCGGGGAAAGCTTTACTGGGCCGGAAGAACTTTCTCGTATTTTTCCGAGCTACCACCCAGTAGCACACCGGTAGAGCCGACGTAAAATGCGGAGAAGAGGCCGAGAGTCGGGTCGTTTCAGGGGGTTAAAATCCTGGATACACGTTCACGTCGTTATCGAGCAGACGCGTGCAAAAGCGGAACAGTTTCGGGGAGATAGAAGGAGCGAAAGGTATCCTCCTTCTCCAAGCGCGCCGGGTATAGAGCTCGCTAATGCCCGTCATCCCCCTTTTATCCTTCCTCCTATCCGGCCAGGAAACTCTTTTCTCCTCCCTCACTCGACTACTCCCGTGCGCGCGCTCGTAAACGGACGCGGAAGAGCGCGCATAATTTTCTACTAAAGCGCGAAGAGGTCGTCGAGTGTTTCCGAGAGACGTTTTAAGGACTCGCGTGCTCGCATCTCCTCCTCCCAACTTGGGACGAGCTTACTAAAAGTACCGAGGACAAGCTCGCCCATTACTCAGAAAATTATCAGATAAAGAGTGGCACGTTATCGAGTATATTCAAATTATTCAGCGAAAATCCGCTTCGTATTAAAATCGCGCCACTTCTCCACTCAAGGAGCGGACGCGGGAATAAATTTGAGTAAATCGAGCGAGGATCAATGCCACTATTATCAACGCCAACACGGCCGACATTGGTTTCTAATCGACCATGAAGACTGTAGCTCTTTGCGGAGTGAGTAAAAAGGAATCGCGGCGTCGCGCAGACAGTCGGTGGCAGATATTGCCACAGATATGCCCGAGGATAAAGTCGTTTTAAGGGGAAACGCGAAAAACCGCCGGAAGGGGAGAACAAAACGAGAACGTGGCTGCCGCGCGCTGCGCTGGTAGAAACAATTCGCTCCGGGCAATGTTCCGGAAAGAAGGAAAGAAGTTTCAGTTGTCACGACAGAAATACTGGGCCGTTACACGTCTCTCGGTTCATAGCGGAATCTCTTTTCAAAAGAGTGTCTGCGATCGTTGACAATGTAGACTGCAGCAGATCTGTTCTTTTTGACTGCGCTTTTTCATGCCTTCTTTGCTTCGTGCGAGGCGAACGTGTATTCATGGTTCGGCGAGAAAAAGAAGGGGACAAAGAGTTTACATTATGGGACACAGTCAAAAAGAACACGTCCGAAATAATACGTAATACGTCACGTTACCGAACATTCGCGTCGACAAATAGGGAACAATTCGGCAATTCGCGGTATCAATGAGTTTGTTTTTTCTAAGATAACCGGCGGCATTTCCGCGAAAGCGATTGCGTCAAGATCGACGGATTATGACGAGTCTAACATCGGTCGGAAAACGCAAAACAACGCGCGAAGCAAATCGGCCGGAGGCTATATACCCGGTCGGAGTAACGTAGTTAGTTGAGTGCGAGTCGAGGGAGGGGAAAGATAGGCAGGGTCAGAGAGTGGAGGCCATCAGGGAATAGAGACAGCGAGTAAGGGCGTCAGACGGAGGAAAAGGGAAAGAGAGGAGGGGAAGGGTTGTGGAAGTACACTCGTGTCGAGAGGAGATTCTGAGTGCTCTCTCGAGAGATGGCTGTGGCTAGAACGAGACACGCCGAGCGAGACATCGGAGGAAAGCTAGGAAGCGCGCGCGAGAATAAGGGCGAGAGAGGAGAGAAACGAAAGACGGGAGAGAGGAGTTTGAAGGAGTACCGGCGCGTCTTCGTCAGCGGTACGTGAGGCCCCCGAGAGCGCGAACCAAGATCTTGCAGTCGCGTGACGTGCCAACGAGGAAGACAGGCGAGAAGGAAGAGGGGGGGGGGGGGGGGGACGAGAAGAGGAAACGAGAGAGTGAGGACGAGGACTAAGACCCGAGAGGATTCTCGAGGTCAAGATCGAGAGTTTCAGAAGCTTCTCTCGGGTTTAAGCACGGTCGTTTGCATCATCGGCTCGTTCATTCCAGACCGCACTTAAAATAGCACGAAAAGGTTCTGCTTAATTTCAGCGACTTTGGAGCGGTTTCGCCGTATATACTCTCCAAGTGTACTCTCTCTTCCTCTTCTTGAAACGTTCTCACGAGCGGTTTTCATCCATTACACCGACGGGCTCTCGACGGACTAATCGTGTTTACGTTCATCGTCGCTGCGTATATCGCTGAATCATTGATGAGATTACGAGTCACGACGAGCGCGGCAAAACAACAACGTATCGTCTCATGAGGATCGGTTACCGGCCTATTCTCGCAGAAACGAAGATAAGCGATTGAACAGCAGGTAGCCGAGTTACGCGAGACCCAAGGCGAAGCTGAATGCGCAACCGTTCCGCGAACGAGACGGTTAAACGGATCGTTTGGCGCGCGAAATATCCACCACGAGCGAGTTGCTGAGTGCGCGAGACAGTCGAGGCATTGCAGCATTGGGACCGACAGACTTCCACGAATAGAATAGAATCTTTTCTATCAGCACGCTGACCTTATACACGCTCGTCAAGAGAGACGCGAGTTTACACGTGTCGAGTAACTGATGAAAGGAAAAGATTCGTCCGAAGATCACGAGAAGACGCTTTCTCCCATTGTAGCGCAAAATTTGAGAGATATAAAAATGTTCAATATTTTACTTTTTGACGTTGAATTCATTTCTTCGAAGATTTTATTTTATTGTCACATATTGTCAATTTTAAACATCTTGAATTAAATGTTCGAAAAAATTTTAAGACTTGAAGAATTAAACAGCCCGAAAAGATAAAAAAAAAGAAGGTTCGTATGACTTACCTCCGTTAGGTTTGAGATCGTCGGGTTGACCGCGGTGAAGTTCCGGTTTTGTCAGCATTGATAACGGATGCGCGGCTGTGCCTCCGGGGGTGGCAGCCGCTCCCGGGGGAAGGCCTAAACCGAGAAGCGCCGCGGATGCCGAGGTGGGGACCGGTATACCCGCGCCCGGGCCCAACCCAGGAAGTCCGGGTATACCCGGATGCGGTCCCATCGCCGCACCCGGTGGCAGTTGTTGGGCATGCATCTGTTGTAGAAGTCTCGGCAGATCGGGCCTCTGTTGCTGCAGGCAACGACAAAAATTCCGCGTGTCAATAACAACGTTTGCGCAACTTGACGATTGTTATCTCGCGATCGGGATATAGTATCATCGGCTGCTATCGGTTGCTCGTCGATACGCGCTCCGCGAAGCATCGGTGCGGAAAAGATTTGGGTACGTGTTTGCGTACACACGTAGATACGCAGGGATCGGCACGAATAATATATCGCACGGATCTCGATAAGTTCCGTAGATTAGATTAAATAAGTGGCGAGGCAATTAACAGGCTCGAGAGCGCGTAACGGTGCCTCTCAAGTATTTCCGCTGTAATTACCAGATAAAAGCGAGCGGGTATTATTCCGCGAAAGACGTGAAAAAACGCGATGTACGGGAATCGAGGCGATCATCGCTAAGAGCGCGGCAGATTGGAATTGAACGGGACAGGTGGGATGGGGGAAAACTTTAATAGCGTGTCGATATTATCGTGGTGGCCGCTACTACGGCTATATACCGAGAGTGAGAAAGAGAGAGAAAGAGAGAGAAAGAGAGAGGCAGCCAAGCCCAATAGAAGTTCGGAAATGATTTTTACGGGCTATCGGTTTAGCACGGTGGTGTGGTGTGTACGGTGCCGCAGCTTCGTTAGGAGAGTCTGTTTGCCGAACGTGAACTCACGTTTCCAGCGCGGACAAATGCATAAGCAAATAAAATCGCGTTCGCGAGCGAGCGCGCGTGGATTTAAAAGCACGGCACGGTGCGGCCTCTCCTCTCACTCTTTCTCTCTCCCTCTCGTCCGTCATAATTGATCAAACAATTTCGTTTCTGCGAGAGGAGACAGGGAAACAGTGAGGGGGCAAACAAAAAGCAACGCAACGATAATTCGCTGGAAAAATCGCTCCGCTTAATTCCAGTCACGATCGCGTGTTCTCCCCCGGCTCTCTCTTTCTCTCTCTTTCTCCCTTCTTCTCGCTACTGCCAGCCACCGCCAGCCGCTGCCGCTGCCGCTGCCGACGCGAAAATACACTTCGTTACAGTCAACGGAGGCAACTTTCCATTAGCAAAGCATACAAATTGCCGAGTAAACTCCGGCAAGTTTGAGTAACCTCCGCGTTCGACCTCGCCCGGGTAAATCAAAGGCTGCGAAACAAGTGGAAAGACTTACGCGTTCTACCATCGAGCGAACGAGCGAACGAGCGCCGGCGAAAAGTTTCGCGGAAATCTTAAGCGTATCTCACTCGTAGTTTCCTCGTTAGTTGGACCAAGCCGCCAGACAAATTGTGGATCTGTTCAACGCCGTTTTAACGGTTCGCGGATCATGGTGCGGAGAGTAGGTAATCACGTGAAAGAAAGACAGAGAGAGAGAGAGAGAGAG